AAGTAAAAATAATACAATCAAAGGATTGTGCGTGGTAAAAAGGTAACTCTTACTTAGCCATTAGCCGTCGTTGACACAAATTTAATATTAATACATACGGATGAGGCATATACGCTGCCCAGGCATTTAGCCATTTAAAAGAATTTTATATATCAAATGACATTATCGGAATATTATTTACTAACGGATTTCACGAAGGCCCATGTCATTATCGCAGAAGATGAAGAAAAAGAGTTAGAAAAGCCTCTAGTTATCTTAAGAAGACGTAACGGAATTACTTTGGTGTTGTAAATCATGATCAAGCAGCGTCTAATTGCTTAGTAATTTATAGTTAACAATTTACATAACTCGATAATTTATGTATAATAATTTAACTTTTAATTTCTCATTGAACTACCTTACACTGCTTTCTAATAACTCACCTCGTAGAAGTGAGTGAAATAATAACGAACCAAAAAATAATTTTTCGTCGCTAGGGAATAAAGAGAGACAGAGAGTCGATAAGGTAGATAATAATTTATTTATACAATTTTCATGCCAATTAAAAAAATAATTAGTAAAAACGCGTTGGACGGGTATTTTAAGTACAGCGCGTTCTCAATCAATTTATGAAGGAAGTGGACGGTAAACGGAAAGAGAGTAAATGAAGCTGGAAATGGGAATAGAGAAACGTGGCCTTACAAATCGCCGAATAAATTTTCAATTTTCATTGTAAAGAGCCACGTTAAGCGAGCGGCCAAGTATATCGAGTCGATTGATCGCACGATCGATCCGTAAGCAACGATGATAATGTCGTCTTGGGGATGCGCTCGAGGCATATACGTACGATGCGAAGAAACGCGACGAGGAAGAGCGAAGCTAAGAGAGAGGCGAACGTAATTTCACGGGAAAGGAAAGTAAAGACGATGCGCACTTTCTTGAAATACAATGTGCTTGCGCCATCTGTTGTACACGAAGAGCTTCCCCCCAGCCATTTCACGATCTGCTCCGTCGGTATAGTAATTGTATGGATAGTAAGGGGCCGCACGAGTATGAGCACTCGAATGCGCGGCCAATAGCCAAAATATCGAGGTCCGAGTTTGTAATTTCAAGAATTCTAGCACCGAAAGCTGAAGGACCAACCTGACAATCATTATCCTCGCTCTAAAAATCCTCTTATTGCTTCAAAAATGAAAAAGAAGAAGAAGAAGATGATGATGATGACGACGAAAAATAGAAAAGAGAGAGAATAAAAAAAATTGTTATTTACCGAAAGTCATAAGGACTCGCGCCAAGGATAGCTTTATTCGCCCTACAAAGGAGTATCGACAATGATCGGCCTTTCCTAAACGAATGGGAGCCTACGGTGGAGCCGAGGTCGTTAATGGGACTTAAAGTGCGAGTCGATGGGCCGTAGGCAATTTGGGCAGCCGCGTGGAAATGCGCTGGAAAGCGCTGACATGCTCGAGGGCCGCGCGATCGACTCGCCCAGCGGGTATCGAACAGTCGCGCCCATTTCCCCGAACCCGTGGCGGTGCTAACAATACGTGGGATCGGCCGTAGGCGCCGCGGGTACTTGCATTAAGTAGCGCGCAGGGAACGAATGGCGAGGGGGTGGAGTGGGAAGAGGGCGATAATTTTGATGGATACTACGAGGTCGCAGTGCGCGTACGTGCACGGCTCCCTCCTGACAATAAGAATGTTGGTTTTAGCTGCTGCAGCCCCGGTGCTGTTTGTTATTTTCGATGAGGTATAATAAGATGGCTCGTTGGGTGTTGATGCACGGCGCCTAGCGGGGTGCCGTCTCACTAGCTCTTTCTCTCTCTCTCTCTCTCTCTCTCTCTCTCTCTCTCTCTCACTCACTCTGACTATAAGTCGACCTCGGTGAAAATGCACGGGTAGGCGCGCACAAGGGAGATGGGGGACACCACGAGGAAATATTTTGTAGTCCGAGGACCCCCGTAGATATGTTCTGGACCGCTACGCGTCCATCACGCGTCACGGTTTTATGTATTTAGACGTCTCCTCCTTGTATCCTCATTTCTCTTCTTCTGCTTCTACTACTTCTACTACTTCTACTACTTCTTCTTCTTCTTCTTCTTCGATGAGAATCTTCGAAAGCGCGAGCATGTGTGTGAGTGCGTGTGCGCCCTTTGCTTCTTCACCCCCTCCCCTCCTTCCTCTCCCGCACTCACTCTCACTCACTCACTCACTCTCTCTCTCTCTCTCTCTCTCTCTCTATCTCTCTCTATCTCTCGCTCACTCACTGGCTTTCTATTCCCTTTCATACGCTCCTATGCTCCTATGCCCATCGTCTCTTCTTTTTTCTCTTATTTATCGTGCGCGTATACCAATTTTATCTCTAGACGAAAGACATATTTCAATCTCCGGGAAGAGGATGTCCATTCATTCGGATAGGCTCCATCCATGCGCTGCTCCGGTGATTTTAATTTCGAGATTAATTCGTGAAGATTTTCGAGCGTATTATGGTGGGTGGCTAGATCCTATCGTTTTCCCACTTAATCAGATTCCACTTTTTCATTCGAATGGAAAAGGAATCCTCGAGTCGGACGTCAATTAAAGCCTTATGATTTCAACGTGCTTGAGAGCGCCGGTGGATGTTGAGCGGCCAGTTGGAGGGAGGGAGGAGGAGGAGGAGGAGGAAGAGGAGGAGCTCGTGAATGACACGAGAAAAATGGCCCGTGGCCATTTGCACGCAGCGATCGATAATCTAGGAATAAGTTGCGAATAATTGACTGGGGGTAAGAAGATCGGCGAGGACCGCGGTATCGCCTTCGGTGCAATCATCCGCGTCTCTAAAGACGAGTCCGGGGAGCCTTGGAGGGCTAGTCGCCTTCGTCGACCATCATCAGTGTCAACCAGCGTGAGGTCCCATCGTCGTCGTCGTCGTCGTCGTCGTCGTCGTCGTCGTCGTCGTCGTCGTTGTTGTCATCGTAGTCAGTCCGTGAGCCACCTCCCTCCCATCTACACATACTTTGAGTAATCGAGCCCTCTGCTCCGTTCGAATACCGCCCGACGACAAATGAATTCCTCTATCACGAGCGAGAGCCATCCCATTAATCAGCGGATGCTCTCTTTATATATGTATATATATATCGCAAATTTTCGTCGTCGTCCCCCCCCCCCCCGGGTCGTCGATTCACTGTACGTGGGTGTATGAAAATACACATACGGGCAGTTGGTTGCTCATTCGAGTTTGACTGTCCCGGGACGATCGGATTCCTGATTTGCGCTGAGTAATTGCGCCCGATGTTAAGAAGCTGCGCCCGCGAGCCCAATTGGGTCGGGGCCCGTCGATAACGACTCGTCGCTTACCTTCGAACCTTTCGTCATGCGCCTCTTTGCACTTTTACGAGTCCAGACATTCTATGCACACGATCGCACCAAGACGTATGATTTATTATTACGACTGTATGAAGGATCGTTGGAAAATGATGATTCTCAGAATATCCGTGAGGTTTTTTTCGACATTAGTCGATAAGCACCATTAGCCTTTATAAATAATAATTTTGCAAAGTTGTGCACACGGCTGAATGCGTAGGTCAAACGCATATGAAGTATCGATGTGTTATATCATCTTTTCAAGCCATTTTTCCCAATATTTCAACGACTACATAAAATAACGTTGGATATAAAGCCGCCCCCCCCCCTCCCGCTGCCATTCGACCCATCACCTCTCCTACTTTACTTAATAACCTCATGAGAATCATCGATTCGTACTATTGTCATATCAAATTTGTTTAATCGTAGAAAATTCTCTTATTAATTTTATCACGCCGATGAGGTATACGCTTATCCGGCATAAATGTGCTAAACCTATAGAAGACAAAAATTTCAATAAAAGTCAAGATTAATTATAATAAATAAAAACTCGTGTATTTTGATCATTTGTAGCTTTAATACTTTGAAGCCGCTCGGTCGAGTCACACACTAATGGCAATAGAAATACACGTCAGAGAGAATATAACATATATATGATTAATGTTTGCATCTTAAAGAGAGATGAATCAAGTATTATGCACACAGATGTTGCGTAAAAAGATACATTCTATCCATTTACTACATTTGATCGGTTTATAAATACTAACTTTCGCTTATATCGCTAATTACATACCCATTTCGCTACGTCGGATAAATAACAGTTTAAAGAGACAATTTATTAATAAGAATTTTACAACTTTTTTTCTCTACTGGCTTTTTGGAATTGGGTTATTTGAAATAAAGCTTTGTCTATTAATTAATATAAATTTTTATGAAAATCATTCTTTTGACAATAATATTGAATGAAGTACTGCCGAAATTAATTATAATTGAATTTAGCATTGTATTTACGTATACAGAAAATGTGCACCTGCAACGTTTGACGCAAACTCGTTTGTTACAACGACTCAAATGATTAATGGGATAAAAACTTCTTTACCGATCGAGGGAAAGCAGCGACAGAACGTGAGCTCGGTAATTTCGTAATATTAGCATCTTTTTTTTTTTTTTTTTTTTTTTTTTTATAGGCAACAGTTAAAATTCTCAGACATGTCAATGGCGATAGGAGGTAAAGAAAGTCGAATGTGCCGAACAGCAAACGAGCCAAAACTTCTTACTCTCATCTAACAATATTGAATCGCAGGTATCTCAATGTAGCGCACAATTTTGCGTTCTTTATACGAAGAAGAACATGATGTTTGTGATAAATTAACATGATAAATCTATATAGGCAAGAAAATTCACCGTTTTTTATTTTCGAAAACGCAACGTATAATAAGTAATTACAGTGTGCGTTAAGGCCCGAATTTTATAGGTCGATCGCTAAGTGATAAATGGCCGAGTCGCGAAATTTCGCAAATATTAAAAATAGCCCGATACATTAAAGTGTCGAATGTATTAGTGGTAGGTTAAAGCCAAGGCATGGGACGTACAAATAAAACGTACAAATGGTTCTGGATATAAAAGAATGAGGTAAACTAGACTAAAAATCAGCTTCGGGCAGCGTGTGATACGCGAAGTAGGAACCGTGGAATCAACGGTCCTGGATGGAGAGGAGAGCGAAGAAGAACAGGAGAGTGGAAGGAGGGAGTCTTAGTAAGAACCGTGCTTAACGAAGAAGTAGATGAAGCCGTCGACGTCGTCGAGCTCCTTGGAGTAAAACTTGACGGCGATTGTGGCTCTGCCGGCGACCTCCGGTGTCATTGAAAATCGACAGAGCGCCTCGGCTCCGACCTCCACGTCCTGCGTGAGCTTGAGCTTGAGCTGCTCTTTGAGGCCCGGGCCATCGACCAAGAACCTCCCTCGCTTAAGGGCCATCGGCAAGGGATTGACGAAACTAGCCGTCGCCTCGAAAAGCTCACCGAGCATCGGCTGGCTGTCCAACTGCAATATTCATTATATTATTAAAGCGTCCCTGGCACATCCACCACTATCCGTCTACCTTGATCTTAATGTCGGGTTTGCGTACGCGAAAGTCGTCCTGAGCAAAGTACTCGTAGTCGGTGTCCTTGACGGTCGCTAAGCAGGAGATGTTGAAGGCCGATTGATCGAGGAGCTTGGAACCGTATTCCTCCCAAGAAACCTCCAATCGTACCTCGTCCTTACTGCCTGGCTTCACGTAGCGATCGTTCTCCGACCTCTTCACGGAGTCGCCCGTACGGCCTGTATACGTCACCGTTTCCACGCGCAGAATTACCGAGACCTTGTGCGTCTCGAGGCGGCTCTCGTTGCTTATTGTCAGTACAACGCTGGAGGATTCGCTCGATTAAGGACTTTAATCGCGTGAATAGCGGCTCTTATCAAGCATTTGATACAAAGACCGTAACAAGCGTGCCTTGTCAATCTTGAGGGAGTTTGCCGAAGTGTGCGTGAGGGTAATTTTGGCAGGGGGAGAATTAATCGAAGATTAATTGAGAGAAAATTGATAGTTTATGAGGATTGCGCAAGTGATTCGAGAACCAAGGAATTACGTAATATTTCGCTTTTGCTAATACTATGAGAACAAAATTAGCTTTCTTTTTCTCTCTTTCTTTCTCTTTGTGCTTTTTGTTTTTATATCATTAAAACGCTTAGATGCATTTCAATTATATTATTGTGAGGGAAGGATTGCAAGTACAGTACGAGTAAAATTTATATTAGACACTTAATAGATATTTCACTATTTTATTCTCGAATGATGCTGTAAATAAGTATAAGCCTTTAAACCCGCGTGTTTACGTAATTCATTGGAGGATGCCATTCATTAATTAGATTATCGAATGTTCCAGTTTCTAAATTAAGCGTTTTCTTAAACATTAAATATTTATATATCATGCACAACGCACGAATGTCAAATTGCATTCTGAGCAAAAAAAATAAATAAACGACAGAGAGAGAGAGAGAGAGAGAGAGAGAGAGAGAGAGAGAGCGCTTAGCCTATTAAAGTGAATAAATAAATCATACCTAAAGGGTTGTCCAATGATAATGTCATCCCTTAGCTCAAAATTAAACAATATGTCGTTGAATTCCTCGTTAAGATAATATCGGCTGAAAAGGGACTCGCTCTGGCGTAACGCCTTTAGCATTGCATCCCGCTCATCTTCCGACTCTACAGACATTTTTGAAAGTATACTTCAGGCTCACCTGGCACTCCCTCTACCACCAGATAAATTCTTTACAAGTATTAAGCATCAAATATGAGTTACTTACTTTCTGAATATTTGTACATGTGCGTGATGTCTTCCCGTTCCCACGAGCCAACAGCTTTTGTACTAATGTTTTGTCCAACTCTAAGTGGAAAAAAGAAGAAGAAGAAGGAAATAAGAAGAAAACCAAAAAGAAGGAATAAATCACGTTAACTTAAAATTTACGAAATTACATTCACTACATTTTCCACTTTTTCGATCCTTTCTCCATTCTTTGCCCGACAAAATGAAAAACTACATAACCGAATTTGACGCATTCATCACTGTGAAGAAAATAAGACTAAATAAATAAGACCTTAATATGTAGGATCGCAATGAAAGTCGCGCGTGTCCTCGGTGTCAATCGATTTGTGATTTATCGGCTGACTTACCGTTCCCCCGCAACAGTCAAAATAATAACGCGTCGTCAATAAAATATCACGAGAATGCACGCGTTGCACAATAATTAGCAATATCACGCACGTACGAGGCTCTCTGTAGTTTCAAGTATTTGGTAATCTGATGCTGCTGCGTGCTCACATCTAATCGATCGTGTTACTCACTCTTCGCTCGTAACCTTCGGCGATCTCTCCCAACGGTACCTCCCAACGGCCCCTATCCATCCACCCTTCCTCGACCTCACAACTAAATCCCAACGACGTCCCAACAAAAACACTCACCCGTCAGTATCCTTCGCCACTAGCTTCAAGGGCTGCGAGGGCCCATTATATCTCCAGAAGACTTTATCGGCATTGACCTCCGCGAAAACGAAGCCATTATCGTAGGGTTTATGCACCTCGGCCCTCTTAATCGCCGCCACGGACGCGGGTCCCAAGCGATAAGCGTTCTCGCTTAATTCCTGCGGCGTCGAATCGATCACCTGCCAGCCGTGACAATCGGCCGTCAAATCCAATCTCTTCATCCACACTTCGTTCCACACATGGAAGTTCCTGCAAGCGCAATTCGCCTTGTAGTCCCATTAGCCGATAAATGCAGAGATGGACGAAAATGCAGGAGGCAATGCCATCGGCCTGGCACAGCTCGATCTCGTCCCTTATTTATAATTCGCCCTTTGGTCCACGACAGTCGATATTTCGCGCTCGACGAGCACCATCACGCGTTTCTTAAATTGCGCCGAGCGCGTCGAATAAATCCGCGCGAAAATAAACCTTCGAATATTCCACGCTCGTCCCGTACTTTCGAGAGGGGATTGTTTGCGTACTTTGAGAGATAATTGGTACATTGAGTTTCCAAGATGAGCGCCCTCGACTTTCGTCCCGCAAAGATCGAATTCTCATTCCAATCAGCCGATTTTCTCAGAAACTTTCTCAGAAAGAATACCACTGAAGGAAAGAATTTTGCCCTTGAGGCGCAACACCCACGTCGACTTGGGGAGATTGAGTATGTGGAGGCAGGCGAACGAAGCTCTCGGCCGCCGAGTCGAGGGACGTTTAAGCGAGTCGCGCGGAGTCTAGTCACCGGAGGAGAGACGATGAGAGGGGAATCGGCGAGGCGGCTGGCGAGGGCTCGTCCTACCATATCGAGTCGCTGTTGAGCTCCTCCATGACTTTGCCATTGTCGTCTACGAAATAATCGACCGTGAGGCTGCTCTGCGTGTCATGGGCACTGGAGTAATTGGTGACAACGCGACAAGGCAGTCCGATTGTGCGGCAGACGGTCGCGAGGACGCCCGCGAACACCCAGCACTGCCCGTACTTCACCGGCTTCCTCGTCTCGTAATACTCTTGGAGGATCTTCTGCGAGCCGAGCCAACGTGAGGGCGGTGTTCCGCCCCCAAAGTCCTCCGACCAGTTGCCCATCACAACCCCATAGTCGTCCGCAGAGTTGACCTTTCGACAATTACGGAGTTATGCCATGCGCGTTGGCACGCAAGGGTCATAATGTGCAAGTGAGCGGGCCGTTGTTATCGTGTGCTCCTGTTAAATTGGACATTCGAAGCAGGAGAAGCGGACTCGGCGATTCGTGCGCGCGTTGATTGTAAAACAATCGCGATTTTAAGAATTACAAAGCTCACGGCATTGATTAATAAGCTCCTATTGGATAGGCCTGGCGGGACAGTGGAAAGTGAGTATAATTGGCGTGGGGGCGTGTGCTAATTGTAAATATTGAGAATTTTCCAAGCTGACTTACAGCAGCGGAGAGGACCCGAGATATGACAACGGGGTCATTGCGAGCGGATAATCGTACTTTCCCAACCTCGGCCATTATGTATAGAGCGCAATCCAATATGTCGCGCTCGAATTGCGCAAATTTCCAGACGGACGATCTCATGCGATTGCACGTCCCGCGCCAAATCAACCCCGAATCGGCCATAACGTACTCTTGTCGCTGCTCCTCATTTTCCAGATAAACCACGTCATCTAGAAGATTGCGATTAACATTACTCGGATCTAGATTTATTCATGAAAAAGCACTGAGCTCGCGAAAAGAAAAAGCACTGTGGATGTTTTGTTCAATGTGCACGCAAGCATACGAGACGAATGAAAAATGCAAATATTGCATTGGCGTATTGAAAAAAATATTTAAATTTTGTCGACTCGTCTTGTTTCTTGTACAAGAGTACTTTTATAATGTATAGCAAAGCATTACGATTGCCTCTCCGTACGATTTCTTTGTATAAGCCAAGATTATTTGTGCCTGAATGTTTCATTAATCCACATTTAGAGTAATGAGCACGATATGTTCCGACTCGTAGAAACAATTTCATTTATGTGAATGGGATAATCTGACACATTTCCGATGAGTTATAAACGAAGAATTTTTCGCACAATATTGTTTATCGATGGATTTATCGTAATGATGCAGCAAAAAAAAAAAAAAAAAAAAAATTACTTCGTTCTCTCATGGATACAATTCACCCTGCCTTATTAATAAATTAATATTTAAATAAATATTCTTTGCCTTATTGCCATCATTTTACATGAAATTTGTGTATATTATCAGGTGACGGTATATAAACTTTATCGCCTCACATTATAAAATAAACCGATGATGCAAAACGCCAAAACAACGACATTAAAAGGTAAATAAATGTTTTTTTTTTTTTTTTTTTTTTTTTTTTTTTTTTTTGTAAGCAATAGCTTCTTGTTAAGATGAAATTCTAATGATAACTTACCTCGACACCAAGGATTTAATATGAGATAAAATGGAGTGTCAACGGTAAAACTGACAGCACCTTCGGAATCTCTTCTTTTTGTATCTATTTCGATATTCCATTTTCCGATAATAGCATCCGCGGCAGGAGTAACCTTTAATGATTAATGTATTCTTACAAATTTTTATATGTATTTATTTAAATAGAATTGATTCTATGTCAAATTTCAACAAATTACATTACAACTCATTTCAATTTCATACAGGATATTTTAAAATGCCCAATTGGCTAAATGTCACGTGGCGTTGAAGTATTTAATTTACTCGTGGCAATGTAATGAATCACATGTTAATGTTAAATTGCCTACTAATTAATAATTCTAATACCAATGAATATTAAACTGTATTTTATAATGAATTAATATTTAATTTCCAAAATTCCTAATAATAATGGATAATCGGTCGTAGATTATTATAAAATTATAAAAATATTTACAATGATGTTGAGAAGAAAATATTGGCTCTGAAAAGCTGTTATTAAAAAAGTAATTTTTTAATAAACTCTAAATTCTTTTAGAATAATAAATCAAATTTTATACTATTTACGTTTTATTTGAATTTTCATTAATAAGTCTACAAACGTTTCTTGTAAAATTTATTACGTTACTTAACATATTCCAAGACAATGCCCTATTTACTATTGTTATTTATCTAAAATTTAATAAAACATTCAAAGCTTATTTCTTCCAAATATTATAGTTAATTATAGCAAATATTTTACATATCTGTCAAGAAATTCATAAGTGTGTACGAGTGTTTAAAGATAAATGCATGCATTATTTACAGTGTGAATTGTGCGTTAAGAAATTGTACGTTATATCATTGAAGAAAGAGAAAAATAGTTTATACGTTTTTAAATTTGAAATTTATAATATCAATGTTATTCAGTAAAATTCTTGACAGACGTGTAAAATATTTGCTCAAACAATTTTCGCTTTTAAGTGTTATGAAAAAATTATATTATCAAATTAAATATAAACATTAAGAAATGCCCTTTTATTATAAAGCTAAAAATATTAATTATTAAGCTTTTAGAGCTTTTGTAGCTAATTGAACGTGGAGTTATGAAAATCTATAAAGACCTAATATTTAAATATTTTCCATCTCATTCCATTAATGTATTTAATATTAATATTGCGCTAACTATTTTATCATTATCTGTATCGAAAATATTGTCCATTAAAAATCATTCGATATGCTTGGTAATCAATATAGTTCAAACTATTGTTAAATTTAATATTCCAATAAGAAAGTCACACGATAGAAAATCAAATTCACTATCTTCTTAATGTAATACTTAAATCACAACGAGTCACACAGTCCTCACGGCAAATATTAGAAAATTTCTTTCTGATCCAATATATCATTAGAAATAATATATGCGTATGTATGCATAATGTATCATTGAAGTAAAATGATTTTCAGTCTAATATATGTTATAATTTTGTGCAAAACTAAACTATAAGTTTCAAAATCTTTAATAATACTTAATTTTACTTTATCTAATATCGTTATGCATTTTTGTTAATTAAAGAGAGACGCTAAGTCCATTAAAAATACTCTTGAGTATTTTTATTAGCTACAATGGATTGAAAAGTGCATTATTTTATCATTAGTCAATTAGTACATTATACTTTAGTCCATTAATGATAAATGGGGAATTAAAAAAAAATAAAACAAAAAATGTTTTATCGCAGATCTAATAATAAATAACTAATGAAAATTCTCAAGAATTTTACCAGCCGTTGTAACGGTCGCTTTGGACCTACAGCTTTCGCCTCATTTATAGCTGAAACCTTACGAAAGAAAGCACAATTGAACGTTACGTCGAATATGGGCCATTCGGCTGATTTAAAATATCGCGAGGATCGTTAAAGAATAGTCATGGTTGGTCGAGCATAAACTCCAGTGAGTGACTCGACTGTTCTTCCCAGCAGGCAATGCGTAAGGATGTCGTCATCATCGATGTTCGATCGTAAACTACGAGATTAAATGCTAAACCCTGCTAAACGAAGTATCGCAAACCTTAATCCTTAGCGAGTTCTCGGCGAAGGCTTGGACGACGGTCTGCCAGGCGCCGTCGGACACCTCCCCCGGATGGAGAACCGCCGAGGCGACGAGGGTTCCCTGTCCGTACTGGGGCTTCTTCACACCCTCGAGGGTGAATACGATGGATACGCCGTCGATGGCCGGATCGTAATTACGGGATAGATGAAGATCGAGGACGAAAGGCTGGCCCCGGCGTACGACGAGTCTCGCCTCCTTCTGCTCCCGGTTCATGAGGTCGTAGCGCGAGGTACGGTGCTCATCGCCGTTGTCGTCCAGGCAGTAGTCCACGTGCACGATCGCCAGCACCGAGCTCGAGTAATTTTCCCCTTCGCCGAGGCAAACAGAGACACATTGTTAGCTCGTTAAGGCACCTGTCCGCCTTCACGCTCTATTCTTATTATCTCATTATCCTATTAACGATCAATTTTTCAAGCTCCTGACTTTACCGAAATGAAATTTAGTACGAATCGGAAAAACTTTGTCGAATACTCGACGCGAAATATACGCGCACCACGGCTCATTGGCTTTCATCCACGAAATTCCTTGTTTATAGAAATGAAATGAGCGTGGGTACAGTTTGGTAATTAATATAAAAATGGTCGTCTCCGTTAAGTAATACGCGAGTTAGCCGCATACGTTAACGAGTCTGTTAAATTTAAATTTATGTGAAAGCGATGTCCGCATAAATTTTCTAGATAAAATATATTTTAAAGCAAGAGTCAAAACATTTCTCTCTCTCTCTCTCTCTCTCTCTCTCTCTCTCTCTCTCTCTCAATGAAAAGCGTAAGCATTCCCTTTACGTTATATTTGCGCGTGATCATGTTACGCTCCAAGACGATAAATTATTCATGAAAAGCCTAGTTAGCCGACTACGAAAATTGATTGCAATTATGTAGAAATTTACTGTCTCCATTTTAACGACGCACAGGAGTGACATTTTTCTTTTTGCTTTAATACACACGCGCGCGGGCGCGCACGTTCACGCACACGCACAAATGAAAGCATAAAAAATGGGATTTAAAAATGACAAATTTCTAATTACGAATAGATTGCAGAATTATTTATGCACGACTGGAACTTTGCGTATTCAATAAAAACTCCATTCACCAAATCTATCGTGTACGTAGCAAATTGATATGTGATAAGGTATCTAAGGCAAAGGAAGGAAGGAAGGAAGGAAGGAAGGAAGCAAGGAAGGAAGCAAGGAATGAAGCAAGGAATGAAGAGAAGGAAAATACCGGGAGCTTATCATGGCCGGTGATGCGAGACCAAAGTGAAAATCAATTACACTTTAAAGCGAGGTAAGAAGGATTACGCGCTTTATTAAACCTAAATCACTGTTAGAATGCGCTCGAGCACAATACTGTCGATAAATCACGATAAATCAGACGGGCTTGGGATGCGTGTAAAAGCGTGTCGGGACAATCGGTGACCGGGATCGATCGCTCCTGTCGTCGCGTCAATCGCGAGGAGCCAAGTGCCGCCGAGCGATTAAATCGGTGTGTTAAGGGGTGGCAGCGCACTTACAATAGAATCGATAAGGAAAGCGACTCCGCCTACGATTGTTAAACACTCGATAGCGATCGTAAAATCTGTAATTCATGTCGGCCATTTGCCAGCTCGATCCGTCGGCCAATTCGAAATTCGCGGCGCGACTGCGCAGACCACAACTGCGCCTCGGCGCTAACTCCTCTCGCCTTTTGAACGCCGGCCGCCGTCCTTCATCCCCGGCCCAGGGCAGGGGGCGGCACATGGAGGGAGACGCGCCGGCGTCGGGAACTCAAGGCCCACGATCCCGGCTGACGGAGCCATACATGGGTACCCGAGCGTAGGTCACCGTAGGAGCGAGTGGGAGCATCGCCGTCACCCACTTCGCCGAGAGCCGACTAGATGACGACGGACGCCGAGGGCTCCTCCGCTCGTCAGGATTAACGACCCTACGCTCGATACTCCGAACGGGACGACGAGTCCTCATCGCCTCGGAAAGCGCGCTCGGGCCGAGTCTACTGGTCCCGCGGACCCACTGACTTCCTAACGCGTGCCGCGCACTCGCCACAGCCGCCACCTGAATACCATTGAAGATTTATGCCAAAGCATGACGTATCATTCTCGTGGTGGAGAGGGGGCGGGTGGCGGGGGTATACGGGGTGAGGGGAAAGGGGGATGGGTATGGGG